GAAGGGAAGGGAAGGGAAGGGAAGGGAAGGGAAGGGAAGGGAAGGGAAGGGGTTTCCCAGTGATTCTGTCCCCGTGCCCCCAGAGCGCAGAGCTGGAACCCGAGGACAGTGGGGGGCTCCACTCCCAGAAGCAGAAGATTTCCTTTCTTGAGAACAACCTGGAGCAGCTTACAAAAGTTCACAAACAGGTGCGCAGGGGGGGCACGGGGGGGGGACAGGGAATCCCCCCCTCACCTGCACTTCTGCTGCCTCCCCTCGCTTTCCTGGTGCCCCCCTTGCCATCACCCCCCAGCGCCCCTTTCCCTCCTGCCCCCCATCCCTGGGTGCCCCACTCCGCTCCATCCAGCCCCCCCCACCCCGTCCCGGGGTGACCCCCGCCCCCCTCGCTGATGCCCCTCTGTTGCCCCCTCCCCAGCCGGATCTCTGGGTGTCTCTGGGAGCCCCTCCCGGCACCCACGCGGGGGAATCTCCCCCACGCCCCCCGGGGAGGGCAGTAGACCCCCCCCAGTCTCCTCTGCCCCCCTGGAACCCCCCGGTTTTGCAGGGTGGGGGGCACCGCTCTGACCGGCACCTTCCTGCCTGCCCCCCCTCACTCCCCCAGCCCAGCCCCACTGCTGCGTGTGGCCATAGGAGCACCGCTGGGGCAGGGGGGCCGGGACCCCCACCCGGGCACCGCTGGGGACACCGGGACCCCCACCCGGGCACCGCTGGGGACACCGGGACCCCCACCCGGGCACCGCTGGGGGCGGGGGGGCTCTGGGGCACCCCGAGGCTGCCCCCGCCGCTGTGGGGCTGCAGCGATTGGGTCGGTGGGTGCTGGTGCCGGTGCCACTGTCGGAACCGGAGCGGGCTGGTGCCGGTGCCGGTGCCGGTGCCGGTGTGTGCGGATGTCGGTGCCGGTGCCGGGGCAGATGGGGGTGATGGTGGGAGTGGGTCCCGGTGCCGGTGCCGGTGCCGGTCCCGCCGTGTCGCACATGGGTCCGTGACAGTGCAGACTCTGCGCTGTGAGCCCCGGGGCGGGCGCAGGGGCAGGTCCCGGTCCGGTCCCCGGTGCCGGTGGCGGTACTGACGTGTCGCACAGCTGGTCCGTGACAATGCAGACCTGCGCTGTGAGCTTCCGAAGCTGGAGAAGCGGCTGCGCGCTACGGCTGGGCGTGTGCAGGCCCTGGAGGGGGCGCTGAGGGCGGCCAAGGAGGGGGCGCGGCTCGACAAGCGCCGGTACCAGCAGGAGGTGGAGCGGATCCGCGAGGCCGTGCGGGCCCGGGGGGCGCGGCGGGGACCCGGAGCCCACATCGGTACCGGGGGGTGCAGGGCGGGCACCGGGACATGGGGGGGGTGGAGGTGCAGGGTGAGCACAGGGGGTGTAGGGTGGGCACAGACAGGTACAAGGGTGCACCTGTACGGGAGTGCAGGGGGTGTGGGGGGTACGGAGTGGGCACGGGGGGTGCAGGGTGGGCACAGACAGGTACAAGGGTGCACCTGTACAGGGGGTGCAGGGTGGGCATAGGGGGTTCAGGGTGGGCACAGGTACA